GGGAGGATGTGAAAGGTGAAATCTCCTGAAGAGGTGTAGTGAGTGACAGACCAAAATAAGAAGCTGCCAGAAAACAGAGTCCAAATTGTTTTCTCCTTGATTGTATTCTTCCTCACCAATACTCACCGGCCAAACACATGAACCTAGCTCCCCGCAAATTAAGGCCTGTACCTTCTCTGCAAGTAAAGTTGAACCCGATTCCCGGAAAGTCATACCAGTAGCATTTTCAATTTTAATGGAAACTACAGTAGCTTATACTTTGAATCGCGAACCATACGAAATTCTCGTATAATTCGGTAACAACAAACAAATGCAAAAGAAAAATATCGTTGAAACAACTGAATGCAAACTGTTGAAGAAAAAGGTGAAATGGTAAAGAAGCACAATCAATAACAGTAGCCATATGCGAAAAAAACATCTAAAAGAAGTTGTAGCAATCGAGAATGTGAGGACTGAGCGGGAATAGCAGAGGGAGCTAGCTGCGCCAATATAGGTGGAGAGTAGTCACAAGATATGAACATATTCAAAAATGGCGCGAAATTGATGGGGTATATGGACTGGTGAACTGACCATAAAACATTGTTAGCGATGCTTAGAGGACAAAAGAAGAAAGATATAGCTTTGAGTGAAGGGAGGCAAGACTGTATAGGAAGAAAAGTTCTCACACTACTTTCCAGTTCCACAATACTTTCACCCTCTGAGTTCTAGACTAGCTAGTGTACCACAGACTCAAATATAACATATGGCTTTAGTTTATGAAAAAGTTCAACAAGCATTCATGCACCATGAGGCAAATGAATCTTGTAGTTTAACGAATTGGCTGATGAGGGAAGGAATAGTCCCACCAGATCCAATTGGCTGATACACTCCTAGCTTGTTAAAAAAATGTCACATCCCTTGAAGGCCAATCATAAAGCTGGGTAGACCAAAACAACTGGGGCAAAGTGTCTTGCTCAAGGATACAATAGCGTGATGCAAGCCAGCCACAAACTCACGACCACCCAAGTACAAGTAGACTCAGGAAGCCATTGAGTCATGCTGCTCCCATTACTAGCTTGTATCATAACCAAATTAAATCTGTGTTTAAATTGGCATGTTATACTGTCTTATTTTAAGCTTTTTTTTTCAATGTAACGCCACATTGTCTAGTTATTAATGAGTGTACTCTTGCACTGCAACTATAGTTGCTTAGAAGGTATTAACTTATTCTTATGAACATTGTGGAAAATCCATACTGAGCAGTGATCTGTGCATCACATCCAGAGAGAGCAATGCTTATCTTCTGAGCTTTAGCAATTTGCTGCATTGTCCAGTACACCATCATGAGATATGATTGGTGATATCCCATTATTCTTGTCCAAGCACATGCTTAGAAATCATATATGCTTGACAGTTTACATCACCTGTTTACTCAGACCATTAGAGTAGTATGATATGGTAAATTTCACTGATTCAGCACATCCAGTACTTGGTAAAAGTAATAAAATAACATATTGTGAATTTTGCTTCTAGATCCTTGTGGATTTTTTCTGGTGATTGAGAACTACATACCACTGTTCAGCCAAGTTATTAGCTATACTTTGAGCTAAGGTGCTGGTGAGAGGTAAACTCTGGCCCACTGAAGTGTTAATAACAATCTTCTCATAACAATTGCCACTATTAGTACCAAAGAAGGATTGGGCACTATCCAGAACTATCTGTTGAAGTGTAGAGCTTTCAGTTTTCTGTGAGTATTTTCCATTATGTAGTCATTTTTGCTCTTAACAGGACAAATGGTACAGTGCCTGCACCATCCTTCCCAATGCAGGCATAGCCAGTAGAACTGCTTTCCCATGCTGATTGTAATGTGATCCTTTCTGAAGTCCTTTGGTCCTTATATCACACAAATTTCAAAATATTTCCTACTTCAAGAGCCTCAGGATTTTGGTTCCATGGTTGCTTAAGTTGTGATAGTGATAAAATAAACTTTTTCACACCTCTAACTGATCATACATATGTAGATTTTCTTTGTATATCCATGTTGTATTCACCACACTATGGTGATCATGCTTTAGCCTCAGGTATAGGACACAGAACCAAGACTTGTCAAGGACAAGTCATTACTAATGCATAAACAAAAAATGACTGGAATACCTATTAACAATCGTTATTCCACCTTAAACATGTAAAGAGTAGTGCATCTATCATTGGGAAGTACCATATAGTGTTAATAATATGATGCAAACCCAAAAAAGCATGAACATATTTCACAAATGTAGGGAGGTCCTGTTCGTAACTGCAGCAATCTTCAATCGATCAACTGATGCTAAGTTACCATTTCCTTTTTTAAGTTTCTATTCCTTTCAAATTTAAATTTCAGTTCAATTTAATTAACCTAGTTTTATTAGATCCAGCTTAATTCCATATCTTGCCTGTGCTGATAACAAATTATATGTGAAAACTTGGTGATATACATTATATTTTTATTCTAACGTGGCCAACTTTTTTTACATATTTTCACAAATCTCTAGTTATTAGTAGAAACCTAGCTATCTGTTTCTCTAAGAATCCTATACCTTGATTGCCATTCATGTAAACACTATGTTAATAACAGTATTGGGATAGAAGTGTGGATGTTATATTTTGCTGCTTAGGCACCATTTGATAGTGAGTAAATTCCTGGCATTAATCAGTTTTTTACCAATACTTGCCATTAGCTATTAGCATAATACTCCTATTTTTCTTTAACTTTTTATTATTGGGATGTCAGTTATATTAAAAACATTCTTCACATTGCTGTCAAACACAATCACCCATAAAAGCAAAATTCACCAATCTTAGTAATTGTTTATCACTGTAGTTTCAAATTCAAGGCACCATAAGAAGAAATGCCTTGCATTATGAGTGGAAAAAAAGAGTGGTTTAAGAGCTACAGCTCATCTATAAAATCCAGTGGATAATAAGTGTGCTGGCTTCCAGTTCTAAACTTCTGGATTTGTTAACTGAATTGAATAATAATTTGATACAATACTTATAATAAAACTAAAATCACTTAAGTATATTTGTCTGTTTTGAACTTTATTGCTAATTCATGGATCGTAAACCAACATAGTAATTAAATGATTTTGGAGGAAATACTTTCTTCATCAAAGGTAATGATGCACCTAATTCATGTACACAGTTACTCAAGTTATTCTTAAAGAATAAGTTCAATTAGGGAGAATCTCGTAAACCTGAGATAAAGTGTTTGAAGACAGCAAAAAAGACTAGAAAGCAAATCTCCTAGCTTCTACTGAGTTTTTGGTATTTTGGAGTATAAAAATTACAAATTACATTTGATACAAAGATTACATCCTTTAATTTAAAAGCACACTTTATTAACCTTAAAATTAATTTTTAGATAAAAGTTTTTTAACTTGTATGTAATTGAAATAAACATTAACTTTAGAATAAAAGACAAAATGCTTTCTAAAATTTATAAGTTTTATTAGTCTTAGAAAAAAAACTCGTATCAAGCCTACTGTTGTCTTTCTCCCTACCACAGATTTTTGTTTACATCAAAAGAAAACAAACTTGGCTGCAATTCAGTGCTCTTTCACTTTCAAGTATGGTAAGCATTATGAGGAGAAGTGATTAATATGAACATCATCATCAGCACCTGTACACCACTGTTGGCAATTTTGAAAACTGACAGAAAGATGTATTTTCTTGTGGCATGTAAACCTTTTGTCACCAGATAAAAAAAAAAGAGAGAGATTAATTGTCTACTGTAAAACAGTGATATGAAGTGATTTTCTGTTTTGTTTTTCATCAATGGGTAAAATAATTAAAAGTGAGTAGAAAAGAATTTAACTGGGCCTGTCCCATTTTAGAAATAGACAGGAATAAGTCTGAGTACTAATTTTTAATTTATCTGTCAAATGTTGACACCTATATAATACTTATTTTCTAGTGATTTTTAACATCGTAACTCTATTGTTATTACCACATGATGAAATAAATTGTATCAGACATGTGACTCTTTAGAAAAGAAATCCTCGAAAATTTGGCCCAGGTCACAATTTTTACATGCTAAAATGCATTTTTGGATACATTCAAAAGAAATGTGCATGCTATATCTTCATTTTTTCCTAATCTAATACACCTCTTTCTCCTAACCATTCCCACCGAAACTTACTTTTAACAGGTTTATTCATGTCTTTAAGCATTCAACAACAACCACTTGGTTACTCTTTCCAGAAATTTTTTTATTTATAAAAGATGTATGATTTGCTGCTTCATAATAAAATACAAAAACTGGATGATCCTTTGTTGTTAACTAGGTTTTTTATCCAGTTTTTCCAATAAGCAGAACTTTGTATTTTAATTTTCTTTCAATTATTTCTATGGCCATATCAAATATTTTTAATCCACTATTTTATGTTCCTCAGAATTTTTTACAGTCACACCCAAAACATCCCAAAGTAGTTGGAAAACACAAACATCTTGAGGAAAATTTGCTCTCACTGATTATTTTAATACAACTCCTAACTAACTATCAATTTTGTAAAAAGTATGTAATACCTGCCATCAAAATGGAGTTCTATAGAAAAATAAATTCTTTAAACATTGTTTAGCTTTCCAACAATTAATAAAAACAAAAGATATACAAAACTCAAAGTTTATTTTCATATTACTTACCCTTATATATTTATGCATTTTTGTGTACATAAAACTAGTTAACTGACAGAACATTTTGTTTGATTCTTTTATGCTTTGTTTGTTTGTAGTTAAGCACAAAGCTATTTGTGCTTTTCCCACCATGGGTATCAAAACCTGGTTTCTAGCTTTATAAGCCCACTTTAAGATTTTTGTAAATGAAGTGAAGTAAAAAAAAAAATTACATTCTACCCCTTCTCTGCAAATACAAAATCCTAAGGATTTAGGTAAAATGAACTACTACTATGTCTTGTAAAGTAACCATTTGGGACTTTTTTACAATATTAAGGTAAATATATCAAAATAGATGTTGAAAACTGCATGCAATCAAAGGGAAATAGCAAAAATCTCAGCAGACTTTAGCTTACAAGCAAAATTAACAAGTACTTGATTCCACTCTGGATCAAACATCCACACATAACATTATCCAGTCAAGTTTCAAATATAAGATAACTTCATTATATTCGAAATTTACTTTTTAAACAGTTTGAATAGAAAAAGATGTACATATATTACAAAAATCATCTGAATATATAATTTGTACTTTTTAAACATGTAAACATTTTCTTGAAATAAGATTTTTAATTGTATGTAAGTGCATGATATAAAAGTTAACTGATCAAACTGAAATGCTCCCTTCACGAAATTTTGTTTTACCAATAAGTACATTGATAAGTACACATCTGCCTTGCTGATATACATGTCTTGCTTCTTCAAAAAGTTTTGTTTCTTCTCCATGATGAGCATCAAACATTACCATTCCTTTTGCACCAAACCCTTCAACAACTTGATGATATGGTGTGTACTGAAAAAATATGAACATAATAAGAGAGACAAACCATTAACAAATCATTAAAATATTAACTAAAATAAATAATAAGACCATTGGCTTAAATTAATATAATTTTGGTACATACTAGTTATATGTTATAATAACGTCACAGATCCTTTTCTTGATAAGTAACTTCTATGAATTATGTTAAAAATCACATTACTTAATATTTTTTCTGGAACAGAGGTATATATATATATATATATATATATGCATATAATTTAAGAACAACAAAGGACCCGTTGGTCCATCTAAGCAATTATACCTAACTTTAAAGTAAAAATTAAACACTCAAAGCCAGCCCATATTGATCATATATTCACCAAGCCTATCCTTAAACTCCCTTAAATTAACTGCATCCACCATATCTGAAGGCAATCCATTCCAATAGCCAATCATCCTGTGAGAAAATAAAGCTATCTTAGCTGAAGATGACATCTATCCTGCTAAAATTTATATCAGTCCCCAGTCTTTACCCCTCCTCTGAACCCTTTCCAACAGTTCAATGACCTTCCAAAGATAAGGAACTCAAGACTGAACACAGTATTCCAAATGTGGCATAACCAATAACCTACACAATGACTTATAACCTCTTTAAGATTTGTATTCAATAGTTCTGTAGATACAACCTAAAATTATGTTTGCTCTGCCACTAGCACTTGCTTCGTTAGTTCAAGAGACTGATCAACCAGAACACCTAGATCCTTTTCTTCCATAACACTGTTAAGGTTATTTCCATCAATATTATACTCATAATTTAAATTGTGATATCCCATATGCATTATCTTGTATTTATTATAACTAAAAGATATTTTCTGAAGACATTTAACAAGTTTGAGTGAAAAGAATCAAAATAAGTGCACAATTATTATTACTATTTAGATGTGTGTGTATACACCTATCCATACTTTTGATACTGTAATATATAACTATACTAAGATCTCTGAACAATACTCAAATAAATATCTGTACACACGTACATTATTACTGTCTCACATAACACACTGTATTCAATTTACTAGTGTTAAAACTGATGTTTGATCCACAGTTGACTGTCTCAAAAGCATTATAGTACTTACTTATATATCTATATATATATGTGTGTATGTACATTTTCTTTTTTTTTGGGGTAGGGGGGTATGTGTTTACAATTATCAGTTCATTATATTTAATTGAAAACGAAATTTCTTTTTAAATCATATATTTTATCAAATTATCTCAGCTTATTTGTTTGTTAAACCTTCCAACCAGGTCTCCAAAAATACAGCCGCCAGATCGCCACTGATGATCAGAAATCTCTAGCTGGCAACTACCCTTCTGTCCATTTATGTTCAATTATTTCTCTGCAGAGTGTTTGATTTTGTGAAGAAAGTAATTTTCACTATGCACTTAGTGTTGCCAATGCAGTGATCAATTAAGAATGATTCTGTCGATCAGGCTTAGTGAAAAAACCCCACCAAAATATGAACAAGATTCCAATGCAAAGCAACACAAATTTTAAAACCAAGCAGTTGATATCAGTGGCATGTTTAGTGAACAGTCTTGCTGTTTGTCCAGGCAACATTCATTTTGTTTAGTGAGTAGCTCAGTAAAAGGTAGTACTTCTGACTGGACATGGTAGTTTCAAAAGCTGCACCAAAACTCAGGCTTATCATAGACAGCCTACCACACATGCACATAATTTAGCAAAAATGTAGATGTAAGTTGGTTTTCATCTTGAAGTGTCTTATGAAAATTGATTATCTTTTGTCAATACTGAGCATCTTTTTCAGTTTATTTATTTTTGTTAATAGGATAATTTGTTTTAAATCATGAGTGCACATCAGAAGAGCATACTTTTGTAATTTTAAAATACAGACAATTGCATTTTAAATAAGGCACTTGAAAAAGACAAGTCACCAGAAAAGCAGTTGATACAACATGAATTACCTCAAAGTAGTATTGTGTGAAAAAGAAAACTTAGTAGTGCAAGTGCAACAGAAGAATGAAAGTAGGCTTTCATAAGCTAGAAGAAAATTCAAGCAAAAATGGTATGAGGAATTTATATGCTTAACATGTGAAGATAATACTGCAGGGTGCCAAGTATGCTCAAAATATAATGATATCTCAGATTAAAGCTCTAAGCTTGTTCAAGGTTTCCAAGGGGCCTTTCAAATTAGAAGCTTTTAGACTACTCAACCAATCACAAATAAACTATACATCACATAAACTTGCTGTAGAAAAACTGGAATGTACACCAGTGTGTCAGAAAAAGATGGATGCAAATATGTTTAAACATCTGGAGCAGCTTTTCAACCCTGCATATTATGTAGCAAAATATAATAAAACATTTACACATTATGAGAATCTTATTCTGTTGTTGAAGAAATTTGATGTTGACATCAAACTTGAACAATATCAGAATAACATGCAATGCAGAGTTTATATCACACATTACACATATAATAAGGAAGGAGCTACTCACTGAAATCAAGGAATGTATTCACGCAGCTATTCTCATAGATGGGTCAAATGATAAGTCAACAGAAAAATAGCTAATTACTTATGTTTGATAAATAAAAGTTAAGAAAATCAAAAAAATATTTTTCATCAATTATTCCTCTTCAATCATGTACTACAGAAGGTTACTACAAGGCTTGAGATGAAGAAATGAGAAAACTTGGAATTGAATGGTTAAAAGGAAATTCGTTGGTGGGACTTGATAGGAAAAGAAAATGGACTGACTGCTAAAGTGAAAAGAAACATCGCAGATTTAGCTCAACATTATGTAGCACACAAATTAAATTTGAGTATTTTAAGTTCTGTGAATCACATGAAGTACTTAGATGAATCAGATCAAGTTGTCAAGAAATTGTATAAATTTTACCTGAATTCACCCAAGAGATTGAGGCAGTTAGGACTTTTGGCAAATGCTTTAAAAATTTCAGTATTTACATCAAATTCTGTGGATTTACAGTAAGGTTGGAGCTCTTACTGCTGTTGTGAAAAACTATAGCACAGTAGTAGTTCACTTAGAGAATATAAATAATGACAAAAGAGAAGATGCTGTCTAGCTAAAGGAATTTTGAAAAAGATGAAATGTTTCAAGTTTGCTCTAACTTTGCATTTTCTATTTGATTTTTTTTGCATTTTAAAAAAAGTTTCTTTGGCATTTCAGAAGGGAAAATTTACTTCTCAGTCAAGTTGAGGTTCACATAAAATTAGCCCTAAATAAAACTGAAAACTTGCAATCCAACCGCAGATAAAATGAAACTCATTTTATATATACAACTGATATTAATGGAAAGTACAATGAAATTCAACTTTCAAACATCAATGATGCAAAGTTTGATTCAGTAAAGGATAGAATCATCAATGATGAGATGAAATATCTTTAGGAACAGTTTGTACAATAAGAAAATGAGGTGGTAAAATCTTTTGTTAGTGTTTGATACTTTTATTTGGGCTCAAGGTAAGCTTGAAGACAGTGGGAAAGACAAAATTGAATTCCTTGCCCAGTACTTTCAAAGATAGCTTTTATCACAGAAAAACATTTCATGAGAGAGTAAAATGAAATCTCTTATTAATGAATGAATGGTTAGAGCTCAAAGTTTTGGAACAGGACTTTAAGATTGAAAAATTGATTGAAAAGACATTCTCTATGCAAGACAGATTTCCTGTTCTTAGCTATTGTAGCAGTTTTATCAACAGCCATAGGTGAATGTGGTTTTAGACATATGAATTTAGTTAAGAATAATAACTGAACACATCTGGAGGAATCACAACTTAAATGATCTGATGATGATTCACCTCAATGGACCTGAGCTTCAAAACTATCAGCAACAAAAAGCTGTTGATAGTTGGTTTTTTGGAACCAAAACATCAAGACACACTCAAATGCATATGAGATGAATATTGCCAGACAAAGAATATGAAGAACCACATCCAAAGCACATTAAGCTGTCATGATTGGTTTATAATAAATCTTTTTAATGTAACATGAGACATTTTGTTTCCCTATTTAAAGTGGCTACTAGAAAAATTTGCTGGTGACCAAATTAAAAAAATTTTTTGAGCCCTTCTACAAACTGTACAATATTCCATCACAAACCTATTAAAAATATATTCTTGGGCTAATTGGTCAAGCTCTTTTAAAGGATGTCCCTTCTTCAAAATACTTCAAAACAAAGCTATTGGACACTTTACTGCTCTGGCAAATAGAACAATTATTTACTAAGATTTGTATGGCAATTTCTCTGGGTAAATGTCAAATGAACAGTTTCTGGCCCCTTCTGTGCTTCTTCAACATGTCTATCAAAGTAAACCAATACTTCACCAACTTGAACAACTCAGCAACATTGCTCATAAAAGTTTCAGTAAACCATGGTTAATATTTTTGCTTCTAAGTAAATTTCAAGGTGATAAATCTTAACTACAGAATAAAAACAAGAAATTAATGATGGCAGTCTTTTTTAACTACCAAGTTGTTTTATATCTTAATATTTCATTAGGTTAAAAAATTTCATACAACTTGCAAATTAAGTACTTGAAAATTACACACTTCTAGATCACAGGCTGTGCTTGTTCCAAACATTGGCACTTGTTCTCTTGCAATTTGTGACCAGCATGCATCATTTCCCACAACAGCCATAACTGGTACCTTAAATAAATTAAAAACAAAACACGACAAAATAAACATATTCTACAGAATATTTAGTTTCAACTGAAAAACTAAGCTAAACTATCAGTTTCATAAGTAGTATTTAATAATAGAAGATAACATAAACAATTAAGGATGTTATTCAAAATACATTTTCTCCATAACTGCTGGAAGTAAAGGCAATGGCAAGTTCTCACTAACAAACAAGTTTAAAGTGTTTTTAATACAGTTTTTCTTCCTTGATCAACTAGTTTAATTTTTTTTTTCTAAAAGGGAAGAAAAATAATTCTGGTATATACAAACAGAAAACAATTTGTACAATATGTGAGAATCAAATTTACACTTTTAGTCAACGACTGAGAAACAAGACATATTTTGTATTCTAAAGTACTAGTCTGTAATTTTTATTAATACAGTTTAAACTCCAAAATACTTGTAAGTTTTTTTTAAGTTTATGTGGACATGAGATTTTAATATTATCAATTCAGACAAAATTTCATGTGTTTTGGAAATAAATTAACTAGAAATGGAAAAAAACAAGTTAAAACAAATATATATAAGAATATTATACCTGAAGGCTGCATGTTCAGGCCAAAAACATTTTGGGACTTTTCAGACAAATACAAGAAAAAATTAATAAACAATTAAAAGAGAAAAAAAGTTTCAACTTTCAGAGATCTTGCCTTCTTCATCCAGAAAAAATGAGACTAGTATCTTTGAACCATTTTTTATTTTCCTTCCATCTTAGAAAAAACATTAAAATATGGGTTATCATCATAAATCCTTTAACTAAAAAATTTACAATTTAGAAATTGGTATAAGATGACATTAGATTTCTTGAAAGTCAACTTATACTTCCTTAAGATAAAAGCATGGCAAATGCATGTCAAAATATTTTAACATACCAATAACAATTTGCTAGGAATCACTTTTCCAATGTAAACTAGAATAGTTGGATATATATATATATATATATACTTATTTTTTTACATGTACCACTCAGTTT